GCGCTGACGCAAGCCTCCCCCACCCCGTCTCCGCCCTCCACAGCATTTCTCCCTCGCGTCCGCACCCTCCCACCCGCGGTGCCGCCCTGCCCCGCCAAGCCCCCCCACATCCTGCCCCAGCTCTGCGGGAGGCAGCGGGGCGGGGGAGGTCTCTCTTCTTGCTCAAGACGGTCGGGGCCCGTCGGAAGAGGACCAGGGAACATTGTTCTGCCGTGAGGCACGTGTAGTCCCAGACCACCCCGCCTTCGCTGCTGGTTGGCCCTCACCGCTGGCACCGGCCCCCTCAGTCGCATCCAGCAGGCGCGTGCGAGACGGGAGCCTGGGCCACTTGGCTGCCGTTGTGTCCCCCCCGCCGGCTACTTTGACACCGTGATACAAGTCAGCAAGTGCTCTAGGACCCAGGAGTGCTTTCCCAATCAGTGTTGGCTGGTAGCCAGCGGAGACATTGCCCAAGCTAAAACACACGATTTCTTCCAACTGCGGAATGATAGACGGCCCCTTCACACTCCAGGAGACAGTCCCTTTAATCCTCTCACTTGGCCAAGATGCCCATGACATCTGAAAATCCTCCCAGAGGGGTCTGAGGACCCTGATCAGTTCATGAAAGGGGTTATACACCATGTGGTTACTAGTAAGAGCAGGGGTCTGGACTCGAGGACCCTCTCCCCTACTACGTTCATTCACGCAGCCTGAAAAGAGAAGGCTGAGAGGGGACCTGGGAGCAGGTTACTGCTGCATCACGGGAGTACGTCAAGGGCTCGGTGAACAACTATTCACCAGGGCACCCTTGGGGAAAACTAGGAGTAATGGCCACAAGCTCCTGGAAGACGGATTCAGGCTCAACATCAGGAAAAACTTCTTCACAGGCAGGGTGTCCAGACTGGAATAAGCTCCTTCCAGAGGTGGTGCAATCACCTACCCTGGAAATATTCAATAGGAGACTGGACAGTCACCTCCCTGGGGTCCCCTGACCCCAGGTGTCTTTCCTGCCTGGTGTAGGGGGCTGGACCCGATGATCTTCCAAGGTCCCTTCCAGCCCCTTACAGTCTATGAATCTATGGGCAGACCCGCTGGTCAGGATTCCCTTCCAACTCAATACACTCCAATTACTAACAGCTTCAAAAGAAGCAAGCTTGGAAATGTTATGGACAATCTCACTGCCTTTGCCCCACTACTATACCCAATCATGACTCCCACTCCAAGACTTCTTTTGTACAGATTTTCTTTCAGCTTTTCTGGATTCAGAATCAGAGCAGCAACTTATCTAGTTCAGTAGTCTGTCTCCCAAAGTAGCATGTATCTGATGCTTCAGGAGGTGCAAGAGCCCATAAGTGGACAGTTATGAAATAACTTCTGAAAACAGAAGATTCATTTTTGTACTCTTGCAAATCAAAGTTCATTTGCCTCCCCAAGCAAGAGGACTTTTATCCTTTCTAAACTATCATGTTTATTTAGTGAGCCTATCTATCATAACTGTGGATTCTGCCATCTATAATATCACATACGAACCTGCTAAGTTCCTCGGTGTCAATAATACTTTCTGACAGTGAGTGCTCACTGTACTTTGCATCCTCTTACATGCATCACAGCACATTGCTCACCTGAAAAGTATCGGTCTATGATTATCCTTTATATGTACAAAATACATTGTCATAATCAGTAAATAACCACTAGGTCAGACATTCTGATTTATATCCAAATATACAATCAACATAGCAGAGCCTGTGACAGATATGTTAACACAGACTGAAGTAGGTTCTAAAATTCAATCCAGCTAATGCACCTTGACTAGATTACCTTTCTATGCAATGAAGTTGCACATGGAAATACTCACAGATGTTCATCAGATCTCTTTACAGTATTACTTCGTAAGACTCCAGCACCATTTTTGTTTAGCAATTTCTTTGGATCAGGGGCTGTCTTCTTGTTCCAGGTTGGTACAGTGTCTAGCATACTGAGTCCCAGCCTATGATCTAGATCTCAAGTATGGCTACAATACACCTATATACATCATATTATTTAACCAGTTCCTGAATTCCAGCTGCTAAGCTTATGTTCTATACTTGCCTGGCTGACAAAGGCACCAAACCTGCAAGAAAAGCTAGTATGAAAAACGGATGTTTATCATGCTTTGAACAAACTTCCTTTCAGCAGTAGTTTTATTTGAAAAATACAGCATGATTTCTGCCCACATCCCCAAAGAAAAATTTCTCCAGTTACCTAGGCACTGGAAGACACCATCTATGATATTTAGTCCTTTTAGGAATACCTTTCCCATTCAGATCTGTCACTAAGGCACTGCAAGCTATTTGGAGAAGATGACACCTCATTGATTTTAGTAAGTGTTAAAGTTTAAATACTTGATTGAACCATCATTTACATTTGCAACATTACATTTTAACTGTATTCAGCTGTGCCAAACACAATTTCTTAGAAGTCTTTCCAGAGTGAGGCAAAGGAGTCCAACTCAGCCTGTAAAATGTAATAGCATAATAGTGAAAGCTTTTTCCACCCCCCTTCCTTCACCAAGGAACTGCAAAAATAGACTCCCCTCTCAAAAGGATATGAGCAACATGGAAGGGAGTCTGATGTTCTACCACAAAGAGAAAGTCATCAAAAAAGAGAACCGAGGTAAATTCCTATCTGCTGATACGCTGCAAAAAAATAATTAGATGATTTAAACCCAACTAAACAATACACAAAATATTTTGCTCAAATTTACATCTTAGTTCAAGATGCCAAAGTACATTCTACTTCTAATTTTGCTGTAAGATCATCCTTACAATTCAGAGTTTGAAAATGTGGTTATATGATTAAGCACAGAATGAAACCCAGCAGAAATGGGGGCAACCTTAACCTTTCATTTATTCACTTCCTTATTATTTTAAATGATTCAGTCAAGAGTTGCTTCAAACTTTCTTCAGGACTCCACCCTTAGATAAACATCCACATAATCAGGGAAAACTTGTTAAAGAAAAAAAAAAAAAAAAAAAA